CTATTTTTTCTTTTGCTTTCATGATATAAAACTACAATAATTATTAATAATTAAGTTAATTGTAGGTAAAATTGTAAAATAGTTGAATATATTAAAGACAGGTTCTTATCTTCGACCATAAATGTGAAGAGAATAAACATTATTGATTATATTATATTATATAATTGAAATGATGAGATATATTCACCACATGTTTTGTTCTCCATCTATATATATATATATATATATAAATATATATATATATATATTATATATATATATATATATAATAATATATATATATATAATATATTAGGAAACTAAGCAACGCGTGAATCAGATTCCCGCTTTCCTATATAACAGTTTGCCCTTCTCTATATCTCTTGCAAGTTGTATCATAGCTTTAACCTACAAAATTGAAATCATAAAACACTCAATTTCGTTAGGTATCAAATCTCTCATTTTTATATGTATGTTGCATGTTAATCATACTGTCATGATATATGTTTTTGTTACAATTATCATATTGTTTTCCTTTATCTGGGTTCAGATGCATGTGTGTTTCTTTAAGTGGCAACCTTTGAATTTCTTTTTGTAATATCATCTCTTATATATGTTCATGTCCATTCCAGTTTTTGTCAAAGTAGTATCAAGGTGAAAAAGATGGATGGGTATAACAGACATAACGGAGAGAAAGGACTCTTCCCGATTCTTGGTGGATATGGTAGTGGTGGTGGACACTATCCCCCACAACATACAACATACCCTCCTCAAGGGTATGGTTATCCTCCTGCTGGTTATCCCCCATATGGTGGGTATCCATCAAACGGTGCTGGTGGATATCCGCCGCATGCATATCCTGGTTCATCAGCTCCCTATCATTCAGGTTAGTTCCCATACAACACCTGTATTGATTGTATTCTCCAACTATTGACTATGAATTGATAAGAAGACGAGAATATAGATCATGTGCAATAGAAAATATGGTCTTTCTTTCTTGGAAATTTTTACTTGAAAATTGAAAGTGTAAGTTGTCCTCATGAGAAAGCCTTAACAGGGCATGGTGGTCATGGAGGGCATGGTATGGGATTCCTAGCTGGTGGTGCAGCACTTGGGGCTGCTGCATATGGCGCGCATCAAGTGTCACATGGATATGGTTCCCATGGTTATGGAGCTCATGGCTATGGTGGCTATGGACAGCACCATGGTAAGTTCAAGCACGGGAAGTTTGGTAAGCATGGGAAGTTTGGCAAGCATGGAGGGAAGTATGGAAAGAAGTGGAAATGAGTTTATTATGCTTATACCCTCTTTGTTCTAATAAGGTTGTCCATTTTGTTCGAATCAAATTAATGTTGTTAGTTGTAGTAAGTGGTTTATTTATGCTATAAGTTGGTTTGTAACTAAAACTCTTTAAAAAATCGTTGTTTATTTGGTAATAAAAACGAAATAAGAGGGCAAATTATTTCATAAAAATCTTTCTTAACCTTTTTATAGTGTTATCATTTTGATATATATATATATATATATATATATATATATATATATATATATAATATATATATATATATATATATATATATATATATATATATAGTGTGAATGGTAATATAGTGTGAATGTAGGACTAAATTTGATCCGGATGAAAAAAATCAAGTGGTTAAGAATGAATGATGAATTTAATAATTTATTATTTAATTTATATCTTTAATAGATTATAACATTGTCAGATTTTAAAAGTGGAAGTCACAATTTACTTTCCTACAACCCTATTCTTTCGTTCTACTGTTTAATATCATTCTGTATTATTATTAGGGAAGAATGTTTATGATTTTATAAAATGAATGTACGATTTCCACGAAAAAAAATCAATTACGAAAGAACTTCAAATCAAAGTTTACAAACAATTGCACCACTTCGAATTGATGACAATGCCAATGATTTTGTTGATCCACCACTGTCTCTTTTGCGGATTATCCTAAAAGAATCCAAGTGATGTATTGCAAATAGTGTTCATTCTGTAGGAATGAAAACGTAATTTACGATAATTTTTTTATGAAATTTAGTTCAAAACAAGTTTCGGTTTGAATAGGTCAGGGTTTAGAAAAGTTTGTTTCTTCTTTTTAGTGAAGAATGTTGATGATTTTATCATATTCTTAGTTTCATTTCTTCTTTTGTATATAATATATATATATATATATATATATATATATATATATATATATATATATATATATATATATATATATATAATTTCGATTTATTCTTCAAGAATTCTAATGTAATTTGTCAAATGTAGTTCATTCTGTAAGAATGAAGCCTTAGTCTTGAAGAATTGGATATGAAATTAAGTTTGATAAGAAGAAACGAAAGGGAAAAAATGGTATAGTTGCGGAAGAATGTTAGTCTTTTGAATGTTGGTTTGGTTTTCAAAACATTAGTTTTTTATTTTGTTTGGTTTGGTTTTAGTTTTTGTTTGTCTTTGGTTTTAGTTTTTGTATGCCTTTAGTTAACAGAACCTTTTACTCTTTTGAATTTATGGTATGAACAAAAAACGACGATTTATTGAAGTTATGGTTGAAAAAACAAGTGAGGTTTTTGGGTATTAGTCTAACAAATTTTTCAACAGCTAATGCATTTACGAGATGTAACATTTACGTGAACAATGTCTAATAATAGTATGTTACATTTACATGGATAATCTCTAATAATATTTTATAATTGTATGGTTTTGAGTAATAAATATTATTACATTTGCAGGGATATTTTTCAAAAAATAAATGACTATTCTTGTAGAATGAAACCCTTGAGTGAAATATTGGCTATCTATTAATAAGAAAAGAATTGAAAGTAAATATATTCTAACATTTAATGAAAATATATAGAATTGTAATCATTTTATTCAATGAAATCAAACATATTCCAATATTTTATGAAAACAAACTCTCATAAACATGGAAAACTAAAATGACTTGCAAATGAAATTAAAACTCAATCACATCATATCTTCCTTTATGGACAATTCATCATGTCATAATCAATCAACTGATTGCAAATCTTACACAATCTCTTCCTTTCCTCAACTGCATTTGTTTGAACATCAAAATTAACATAATGTGGTTTCATGCATCTTTGGATCATAAGATAACGGGGTTCCTCTATATCCACTATAAACTTCTCATACTCTACTTTCTTGTGTCCCATGCAAAGCTTATTAATTTGTATGCTAATTCTAAAGGAGTGATCTGTACAAATTGAAACTACCTACAAAGCAAATTCTTATATTCTACGAGAATTTTTTATTCTAGACAAAAGCAATTGAACACACAATACATTTAGTATCAATATAAATTGATAAGCACAAATATTTAAGTTAATTATGAAAAATTGGATAAATATTTGAAAGTCATTTCACATAAACATCTACCACACTCTGAAAAAATTTCAACATTCTTTAAGAATATATGTACCTCATCACAAATTAAGAAAAAACAAAAAAAAACAATGGTATCAATATTCTCAATGTATTTTCGATGTAAACATCATATCTTTAAAAACCCATGGTGGTTTATAAAGGATTATATATACCATTCTTTAAGAATTTCATATGAGTATATAATAAAGAGAAAATAAAACTAGTTTAAATTAATGTAATGTAAAAAATATAAAAGAAAAAAGTAAGTAGAAAAAAAAAGCATACCTTTAGTTCCAAATATAATTCAAAAAAATCCCTCATATATTTTGATGTTGATTTTATCATTGACGAGAAATATTCTTAAAGAAATTTTGAAATGGGTGTGTATGATAAATTCAAACAAACTACCGCAAAAGATGATTGGGAAAGGAGGCAACAAATAAAGATTTCGATTGGAACCTTATTTAAACGATGAAAAATATATTAGCTTTTGAAATGTTAGATAGAGTTGCTTCCATATATATATATATATATTATATATATATATATATATATATATATATATATATATATATATATATATATATATATATATATATATATATTAATTTTGGTATACAGATAAGATAAAAGGAAAATGTCAATTATACCTTTGTAGAGATCAATGATTCAAATTTGATGATACAATCACATAGTAGTTAGGGTTTATATATATATGAACCTAACACACATATACACACACTTTCTCTCTCTCTCTCTCTCTCTATATATATATATATATATATATATATATATATATATATATATTATATATATATATATATATATATAATATATATATATATATAATATATATATATATATACACCAATATAAAATGACACCATGAGAATATGTTTTTAGTTTTTCTTTGAATTTAATATCTATAGTAAGTAAAATATATCGTAAAGTTTTACTTTAAAATCCGAGGATGATGCTCAATCCACCACATGTAGTTATATACTTATATAATTATATAGCGTCGGACCAACGCTTGAGTGGAATAAAGACAGCTTCGTGCCTTCTTAATAGTACTCTATATTCATTACTTGAATTACAACATAACTCTAGTGGATCAGTGTTACTTATCAATTGAAACTAAACAATCTGCTAAATTCCAATTCACATTACCCAATTAGGTAAGTGATCATTCTATCTTTTGTTTTTCATACGATTTTGCATTTATCAATGAGCGTGTACACTGCACTTTGTGTTTATATTGGTGTAGAATTCATATTTTTTCCACAAACTCATCAACTTTTTTGATTGTTGCTTTCTTCTGATCGTAAGGCAATATCATATAAGTTGAAAACAATGGGTGTTGGACATAGACATGACGGAGACAAAGGACTGTTTTCTCATCTTGCTGGTGGTGGACATTATCCTCCGCAGGTAGCATATCCACCTCTTGCGTATCCTTATCCTCCTCCTGTAGGTTACCCACCTGCTGCTTATCCTCATCATGGTGGAGGTTATCCTCCCGTGTGTCCTCCGGCTGGAGGTTATCCTCCGGTAGCCTATCCTGCATCTTCAGCTCCTTATTATTCAGGTTAGCTCGTGTCAAAATTATCTTTGTAACTTGTATATGCCACGAGAAGCGTTTCAATATATTGTTTCTTTAATTAAACTCTTGCTTTGCTAATTCTTAGAAACTGAAGCATATAAGATGGTTCTCACAAGAAATGTTGTTTATATAGGGCATGGAAGGCATGGTCATGGAGTGGGAACATTCCTTGCTGGAGGTGCAGCTGCAGTGGCTGCTTCTTATGGAGCTCATCATATGCCTCACCATGGCTATGGGTCACATGGTTATGGTTATAACTATGGGTGTCACCATGGTAAATATAAGCACGGAAAGTTCAAGCATGCGAAGTTTGGTAAGCGCTGGAAGCATGGCGGGATGTATGGGAAGCACAAATGGTGAAATGATTTCTGAAGTGATGTGTGATGTTTGAACAATTCTCATATAATCTAATCGAAGAATCGAAGTGTTTTATAAGCATAATCATGCATGGAGAATTATTGTGAAGTGGAAATCAAGACATGTATGATTTTCGTGTACTAGCTAGTTAAAACTGAGATTGGAACAAACAAGTTTTTTTTAATGCATACATGAAAGTGAGAGCAAAAAAAAGACATTACACCACAAGGAAAAAGGCCATTACCGGCCACAAAAGTCGCCGGTAAAAGTCCCAAAAATCGCCGGTACCGATAATAGCGGCGACGCGTCACCGGTAATGAGTTGCCGCTACTGCCTCGTCGCTATTGATCAGTTTGTCGCCGCTAAAGATAATAGTCGCCGCTATTAGTATGTCGCCGCTACTGACAATTGTCGCCGCTAATAATGTAGTCGTCGGGAATGACATTTGTCGCCGGTAAAAGTGTCGCCGGTAATTTGTTTTCAATTTTTTTTTTAAATAATGATTTTCGTTGCCGGTGATAATATCGCAGGTAAAAGTGTTGCCGGTGATAATATCGCAGGTAAAAGTGTCGCAAATAACAATATTCGATTAAATATCAAAACCAATAGTGTTGACGCTAATTACAAAACAAACATCCTATTAAATATCAAACATAATAGTGTCAAACAAACATCCTATTACAAACAAACATCCAAAATACAATTAAATATCAAAAGTCATACTATCCGAGTAGCAAAACAACAAAATTTTTACAATCTACTAAGTAGCAAAACGAGACAACATATGCAAATAAAACCCATTCTTACATACCCTCATCAGCGTTCCCATCGTTTCCTTGATTGTTTTGGGATTGAAAAAACGAATAAAGCTCATCCCTACATGCCGGGTCGGCGAGCATTGCACGAAGATTTTCCAACTACATAATTAATAACAATATATATAAAATTATAAGTTAGATCGTCAAACATAAACAAAAACTATCAAAATACATTGTTATTTTTAAAGTAAGATAGAAAACCAAAGTACATTGCTATATTTTGCACTTGGGACAAAAACCAAATTACCAAACTTTTTAGCAAATAACCACCACAAAACCAAAACTACCAAATCAACATGCATTTTACGATGCTAAAGTAGATTGCTATTTTACCTGTGATGGTTGTGATGGTGGTTGTGATGGTTGCGAAGGCTGTGGAATCGTCGGGAGACCAGAAGGTTTGCGGCCAATGCCTCTAATGTGGCCACGTCGCTCTCCTAATACTTTCTCGAACGTAGCTCTTTCTTGAGTTGGCGTAAACTCACTTTCACCTTGAGTTTGTTCTAGCAGCTCTTCAACTAACCGATTCTGTAACTCCCAAAAGTGAGTAACAATTAAGTATAAATAAACATTTAAATATATGATAAAATTATAATTAAATACTTACATATTGTTGTTCCGATTCAGCAGTAACAAATACACCATTCTTATCGGTATGAGCTTTGCGAAATGTTTCCACTCTCTTAAGGTTCTGTTTAAGTTTAAAAATTAGATTATATTTTAAATAAATAATTACATGTATCGTACGGTACCTTCTTATAGCAAGTACTGCTATACGAGCTCGAACCCCCACGATTCACAATTGTTTGCTTTTCACGGATTTTTTTGTTCCTTTCTGAAGCAATTTTGTGTTCGTCAGTTTGAAAATACTCAACTGTCTTCTCCCAGTTATCAACAAGCATACCATCCGGAGGATTTGCCAATGCTCTCGGGATATCTTCATACCCTCCGACCATGTTGAAATATTCTTTTGCGTCGGCTTTACGCTCTCGAAAACCTCTTAACAAGGCTGCTTGAAAACTCTCTGTCAATAAAGTAGCTTGTGCATCCTGGTACATTTGATTGAGATCAAACTTTGTCTACAATAAAAAAAAAGTTAACCAAGTAAGAAACAATTATAGTTAAACCTATAAAATATATTTAAATAAATAATTACCGCTAAATGTTGTAATACAGTGTCCTTTATATCAGGGGAAACTCTTTTCCAACTCCATTTGTCGAAAGGGACCATCTGCCACATTGTTTTCCCAACTTCTCGGGAAAACATGTCTCCCGCCTCTCCTACGGGATTAAATGTGATATCCCTATCAAATTGCATGGCTATTGGTTTCCCCTGGTTCTGCAAGATTGCTTTTTCAAGCTTTATATTTTTTGCTTTTCCTCGAGCTTTCCTTCGGGCACGTCCCTCAACTACAAATGTAATTAAAAATTATTAGAAACGACATTTAATTTATGATAATTGAACAAAAATAGTAAATAAAAATTCATGATAAGACTTACCGTCCTGCTCGTGCTGGCCAGGACCTCTACCACCTGGGAAAGGTGGGTCCTCAGCTCCGTCTCCCCCATGTCCACGACCCATGACAGCAGCCATGGTAAACATAAACAACAGCCACACTCTCATCATTTCCTGAAAAATTATAAGATATACAAATACAATTTTTATTATAGATACACATTACATAGAAATAAACATTTAGATAGGAATAAACATTTCCATTTAAACTAGAAATCCAAATACAGTTCATATTACAAACACATATTACAAATACATATTACATAAGAACTATTCTAATCAGAATCTTCCTCATATCCTTCAGTGTCTTCTTCGGTATCATAGTCAGAATCGGTGTCATCGTAATCAGTATCGCAATCAGAAACATCATTGACTCTACCAGTTGGCGGAGGAACTTCAGATGCACTTTCTACATCAACAATGACTCTAGGAATGTTTTGAAAGTACATGCTGAAATCGATAAAAAGTGGAGCATCGGATGAAGAGATATTTTGAAGTACATCGACATCGTCTACATTTTCGTGTGAGACATTGTCAACATTTTGAACAAGGTCATCGTTCGATGGTAGATCCCAAATACTTCGATGATTAACATGCTCGACAACACACCGATGGTTATTGTTTGGCTCTCTGATGTAGAACACTTGTTTGGCTTGTGACGCATATATGAGTTGATCATCTTTGTATGCTTCGCGTCGTGTGTCGATACTGGTGAAACTATCACTAGAAATAACTCCTATTCGAGTATCAAACCACTTGCAACGAAATAGTACAGTTGAATAATCATGTGTATACCTCAACTCTATAATCTCTTCTAACTGGCCATAATACTTCTCGCCTTTCTCACCCACCGCTAAAACCCCAGAGTTTTTGTTGTACGTTGTGTGTCACGACTAAGTACCATAAACCTAACACCATTGACTATGCATGCGGTGTAAGAATAGGCATTCATTTGCGGGCCCATTGCAAGAACCGACAACTCTTCGTGGAATTCTGGAGATTTTTCTATTTTCATTTGATGAACCTAACAATTATAAATTAATATGTATTATGTATTCGTTAGATCAATGAAAAAAATTGTTTATTAATTTATATTACCTTTTCACGAAACCAATTACGAAATTCTCTCTTTTCATCACTTTGGGATGCTCAGATTTGAATTTCCTATGTTGATGACCAAAAGATATAGATTTAAAAAGATAAAATAAAAAATTAAGAATGAAAGTTAGAGATAAGATTAATTACTTGATATACTGTCTGACTTCTTCACAGCTATTCAATACAAACCATTCCATGTTATGCATTTCCGTTAAATTAAGAGTTTTGATTTGAGTTGTGCTGGTCGGTCGACATTTAGACTAAACATCCAAAACTTTGTTTTTTCAATGACAACATCTACATTTCTTTCCGGACGATTCTTTACATCTCGAAGGTACATTGAACAAAATGATAAAGCTTCTTCAGCAACATAACCCTCAGCTATAGAACCTTCTGGCTTCGCCTTGTTTCTGACATAGTTTTTTAGTTTTTTCATATATCTCTCGAATGGAAACATCCATCTCATACAAACCGGGCCTCCAGCAATTGCTTCATCAGGTAAATGCAAAAGTAAATGAACCATAATGTCAAAAAACGCCGAGGATAAATCAATTCTAACTTGCACAAGATTGCAATAATGTCTACTTTTGCTTTCCTCATATCCTCCACCTTCAATGTTCTGGAACAAAGTTGCTTGAAAAACGTACAAAGGTCTACAATAGGTGTATAAGTATCTTTGTCTAACAACCCTCTTACTCCAATCGGTATCAAACGTTGAATAAGAATGTGGTGGTCATGCGATTTCAACCCAATAATGTTAGTATTGGTATCGTTCACTTTCTTACTAATGTTAGAACCAAACCCATCCGGCAGCTTAACCTCTTTTATAAATTGACAAAAGAGTTGTCGACTAGATTTCGTGAAAGAGTATCTTGCCTGGGGTCTATGAAACTTGTCACCATTTTTTTGCAACCATTCATTTCTCCGAATGTTTAGAATTCTCAAGTCCTCTCGTGCATTTGATGTGTCTTTGCTTTTATCGTTCATTAGGAGAGTACCTAACAAACTCTCGTCCACATTTTTCTGGACATGCATGACATCTATGTTGTGTTTCAACTGTAGAGAAGACCAATACTCGAGTTCGAAGAAAATGCTTCGCTTCGACCGGTTCAACTCATAATCTTGCCGCTTTGGCTCCCCGCCTCCATGCTCAGGATGTTTACCCGGTTTACGAGTTAGTAGACGACCTAGTTGCTCTTGTATGTCATCATTATTAAAGTGTCTCGGAGCGGGTCTTGTCTCTTCCATCCCATTAAAGTCCAACCTCTTTCTTAACGGATCATTAGCATCTAGGAAACGACGATGACCGATATATACGACTTTGTTTGTTGCACGGTACGAAGGAGTGTCTTCATTGCAAGTAGCACATGCTCTATACCCTTGCCCACTCCAACCCGATAAACTACTACGAGCTGGCCAATCGTTTATTGTCCACAACAACATAGCTCTCATCGTGAAGAATGTGTTTGTCGCCGCATCTTTAATACGTACGCCTGAGTTCCACAAATGTTTAAGCTCTTCCACCAACGGTCTAAGGAAAACATCCATATCCTTACCTGGAGCTTTCGGTCCTGGAATCAACAAAGTCAACATGAATGATGACTCTTTCATACAAAGCCAGGGTGGCAGATTGTATGTGGTGAGTATGACCGGCCATGTGCTATGTGGATTACACATGTTTCCAAATGGATTGAAACCGTCAGCTGAAAGACCTAGGCGTACGTTACGGGGTTCACTCGAGAAGTCGGGGTATTTTTTATCAAAATCTTGCCAATGTTCCCCATCAACAGGATGAATCATCACACCATCTTCTGAACGTCTGGTACTATGCCAAATCATATTTTTGGCAGTGTGCCTCGAACAATATAAACGTCGTAGTCTAGGGGTCACAGGAAAGTACCGTAACACCTTATGAGGTACTTTCTTACCCTTGGTGTTTTTATC